CATAGATACACATACATTTTTCTCTTTTACTCTGACAGGGTGAGATAGCTGATAGAGAAACTAGTGTGCAATTAAAAACTTAACCACTGAAGGTGATATAGATGCTTTTAAAAGCTCAGGTTACATAGTTACATCACATACATTCATTGTATAATTGATACATTACATGGTCAATCTAGGGTACAAGTCCAATATATCATCAAGTGTTCCAGAACTCATATAGTAGTTACAGAGTTCAGCATACCTCAACTCAGGAGGGCGAAAGTCAGTCAATATGGGACATTCTACAATATAATGTTCAAGTGAATGTATGTTTTCTCTTTCACAAAGTTGACACATTATGTACACGACATTTGGGGTTTGAGAAAGCTGCCAGATACGTCTATATCCCAGGCGTATTCTGGCAGCTATAACACCACATTGCCGAGTTCTTGCTCTGTTAGTCCCATATGTGAATCGAAACCATATGTCCTCACGATATCTATCATAATATTTAATGCTACAACTTTCAGGTCTTTGTGGAGACCAAAGGGACAGTACACAATGAAGGGGAACTGCCTACCTGTAACGATTCGAGAAAGAAACCTGGGAGTGGACGTAACACCTAATCTAACTCCTGAGGCACATATAAATAGGATAACGACAGCAGCGTACTCTACACTGGCAAAAGTTGGAACATCATTCAGAAACCTAAATGAGGAGGCTTTTAGTGCACTTTACACTGCCTACGTGAGACCAGTCTTAGTGTATGCCGCACCATCATGAAGAAACATGAAAAAACCCCACCTGAAGAAACACATAAGGAAACTGGAAAAGGTTCAGAAGTTTGCAACGAGACTTGTCCCAGAGTTACGAGGGATGGGATATGAAGAGCGCCTGTAGGAACTGAACCTTACGACACTAGAAAAAAAGGAGGGAGAGGGGTGATATGATAGGAACTTATAAAATACTCAGGGGAATTGACAAAGTGGAAATATATGAAATGTTCACACGTAATAGTAACAGAACGATGGGACATGGGCGGAAGCTGGAAACTCAGATGAGTTACAGAGATGTTAGAAAGTATTCTTTTAGCGTGAGAGTAATGGAAAAATGGAATTCACTTAAGAAGCAGGTTGTGGAAGCAAACTATATTCATAATTTTAAAACTAGATATGATAGGGAAATGGGACAGGAGTCTTTGCTGTAAACAATCGATGGCTAAAAAGGCGTGATCCAAGAGTCATTGCTCGATCCTGCAAGCAAGCACAAATAGGTGAGTGCACACACACACACACACACACACACAAGCAGAGGAGGACAGCTTGAGGCTTCAAGAAGACCTAGACAAGCTGAAGGAATGGTCAAACAAATGGTTGTTAGATTTTAATCCAAGCAAATGTAATGTAATGAAGATAGGTGCAGGGAGCAGGAGGCTAGATACTAGGTATCATCTGGGAGATGAAATTCTTCAAGAGTCAGAGAGAGAAAAAGACTTGGGGGTTGATATCACGCCAGACCTGTCCCCTGCAGCCCATATCAAGAGGATAACATAAGCGGCATATGCCAGGCTGGCCAACATAAGAACGGCATTCAGAAACTTGTGTAAGGAGTCATTCAGAACTTTGTATATCACATATGTCAGGCCAATCCTGGAGTATGCAGCCCCAGCATGGAGTCCATATCTAGTCAAGCATAAGACTAAACTGGAAAAAGTGCAAAGGTTTGCTACCAGACTAGTATCCGGGATGAGAGGTATGAGCTACGAGGAGAGACTACGGGAATTAAACTTCACGTCGCTAGAAGACAGAAGAGTTAAGTAGGATATGATCACCACGTACAAGATTCTCAGAGGAATTGACAGGGTAGATAAAGACAAGCTATTTAACACAAGGGGCACACGCACTAGGGGGACAGGTGGAAACTGAGTGCCCAAATGAGCCACAGAGATATTAGAAAGAATTTTTTTAGTGTCAGAGTGGTTGACAAATGGAATGCATTAGGCAGTGATGTGGTGGAGGCTGACTCCATACACAGTTTCAAGTGTAGATATGATGGAGTCCAATCAGGAACCTGTACACCAATTGATTGACAGTTGAGAGGCGGGACCAAAGAGCCAGAGCTCAACCCCTGCAAGCACAAATAGGTGAGTACACACATACACTCGCTCGCTCACACACACACACACACACACACACACACACACACACACACACACACACACACGAGCTGAGAGGTATGAGCTACGAGGAGAGACTACGGGAATTAAACCTCACTTCGTTGGAAGACAGAAGAGTTAGGGGGAACATGATCACCACATTCAAGATCCTCAAGGGAATTGACAGGGTTGATAAAGACAGGCTGTTTAACACAAGGGGCACACACACTAGGGGACACAGGTGGAAACTGAGTGCCCAAATGAGCCACAGAGATATTAGAAAGAACTTTTTTAGTGTCAGAGTGGTTGACAAATGGAATGCATTAGGAAGTGATGTGGTGGAGGCTGACTCCATACACAGTTTCAAGTGTAGATATGATAGAGCCCAATAGGCTCAGGAACCTGTACACCTGTTGATTGACAGTTGAGAGGCGGGAGCAAAGAGCCAGAGCTCAACCCCCGCAAGCATAACTAGGTAAGTACAACTAGGTGAGTACACACACACACACACACACACACACACACACACACACACACACACACACACACACACACACACACACACACACACACACACACACACACACACACAAAGGAAGCAACCAGTAGCAGTTGTCTAACTCCCAAGTACCTATATACTGCTAGGTAACAGGGGCATCAAGGTGAAAGAAACTCTGTCCATTTATTTTCCGCCATCGCCGGGGATCGAACCCCGGTCCCCGAGATTACGAGTACTGAGTGCTGTCCACGCAGCCACCAGGCGCCATGTGTGATAATATCCATACAAAGGAGATTCGAGACCCTTTACTCTGTGCAGCAATTAGGTCATTTATAATTGGTAGTATGAGGTTCTTGCTGTCGATCTTCCAGGAGAAGTTTTCGATTACTTGAAAAGTAGACTTTGAATCATAAAATATTACTCCTTCTACAATGTTTTTTAACATACTGGTAGCTAGTTGTGGTTCCGCTAGTTCTGCTTGTGTGGAGGTCAGCCAGTTGTTTAACCTGACACTCACAGACTGTGTGCAAATATTATTTCTATAAAACCTACATGCTGCTGCAGTCCGTCCAGTGGAAGATTGGACTGAGCCTTCGGTGTAGACACAGTGCTCGTGAGATCTTAAATTTTTGTTGGAGGAGGCAATTGTTTCAAGTGTGACAGCTTTGAGAAGAGCAAGATTCTCATTACCTTTCTTAATGACAGGTGTGTATGATACCTGAATGGTGGGGTATAAGATAAAGAGGAATATCGGGAACAGGTAGATTGCAGTTAAAGGGAATGCTGAGTTTGTAGGCATTTTTGCTCAGCCATTTATCATAAAAGGAATGAGTTGGTATGTCGGCACCAGTCAATAGGGTGTTAACAGCACTAAATAATTTGTCTCTGAGCAATGCAGGAGATGTAGAGTCTCTCATGACTTTAAGGTAAAAGGTAGTGTTGACTTGCATGATCCTCTCTAGTATGGTTGGAAGCTTCAGTTCTTCCCTCATGTTGATGAGTCTTGTGCATCTTGGGGCACCAAGAATTATCCTCATGGCTTCATTCTGTACTACTTCAAGTTTGTCCTACATAGAGGGGGGGGAGGGGGGAAGTTAATTAAGTGCAGAGCATTACAATCAACGAGAGATCTAACGAACATCTTATAGAATTGTCTAGCATACTTAATATTGATACCAATATTCTTACCAGTAAGTGTTTTCAGTGGTTTAAGTCTTTCTTTTAACCTACGGTGTAGATCGTTTACAATGTCACTGTTATAACTGATTATATGATAAATAATATTATTATTATTATTATTATTAGTCGATATGTTTATATGATTATATGATAAATATTATTATTTTTATTATTATTATTAGTCGGTATAACTTGCCCAACATGATTAAAAGCTACGAAGATTTTCGATCCTACTGCATTTACTTATCTCAGGTTTCCACTACAGCATCACGAGATAAATACTATTAGATAACATGGACATGTTTGACACGTTTGTTTACAGTAAATGTGAATAAATTTACTTCGCTATAACAGATTTAGCGAATGTTATTGCTTGAAAATCAGAGCATAATCGATATAAGCTCATAGTTTTCCTTAGTATTTCAATTAATGTCGTTAACAGGCAATTTAACTGCAGGGTTTTGGTGAATAAACCTCCTACTGCTGCACCTATGCTTCCCTCCGTAACTGGGACTTACTATATAATTAACTGACATAAGGCTCATATTACTAAATTAGGCTATGGTAGTCATGTGATGTAACATAGAGCAGCGGATCTCATGAATATTTATACTGTATGCAGGACCAGCATCATTCATTATACATGCTGATACACTCTGGCAAGGTCGCACAGCGCATGCGCCGTGTGCTTCTCTAACCCCCCCCCCTCCCGCCCACCAAAATAGCAGTAACTACTGAACCATTATTATCTGCATGTAATACTATGGGGGGGGGGCATATTGTTCACATGACCGCTCGACAAACCATTCTAATTGATATAACAAAACACTTTACACCAACAAAGGAGCGGAAGAAGAGCATGTCCGGTTTAGACAGGAACGTTGGCCGGAATAACCAGGTCAGGAGGCAGGAGGCCACTGCGGGCCCCGGGCCCCTGGTACACACACACTGCCAGTTCCCTCCTCCACTTCACAGTCAGGTGTACCTAGCGACGCCTCTCTAATAATACGAACTTTGATTACACATACTTGACTATACGAAGTGGTTGTGATAACAGAAGTGAATCACATATAGGTTATGGAATAAGTTTGAGAGCCGTGCTGGATTAAGTCCGGGAGCTCCCGAGGCTCATATTGAGGAAGGCAGAAGACAGTGTTATTCTGGCGAGAATTGTGAAGCTCAAAGATGGTGATGAATTCCAGAAAGGTGCTGGTGGTGGTTCTTCTAACAACTGCAACCAGTTCTATCCTCGTCTCCTCACAGGTGAGTTATGACCAATCAGTCACCTTTCTCCTAACGTCTAACATCACCAGTAAAGGTAACCTTGTTCCGTTACTCCTCTACATGTACAAATCCATGTCCACAAGCCCATACTATCATTAATGTCCCCCTACCACTTTCCCCACCACACAGACTGACACAATTGACTGTAATTCTCTCCTCCAACACTATCAATAACTGTAACGTTACCCCTTCCCAGTACAACCCCCACTAACTGAACGTTACACCTCTCCAGTACACCCCACTAACTGAAAGTTATCCCTTTCCAGCACACCCCCATCAGCTGAACGTTATCCCTCTCCAGTACACCCTCCCTCCTAACCGAGCGTTACCCTACTCCAGTACACCCCCCACTAACTGAACGTTACCCCCTCCCCTGTACATCCTCATTAACTGAACATTACCCTTCTCTAGTACACCCCCACTAATTGAACGTTGCCAATCTCCAGTACTCCCCCCTCCCACTTACAGAAGGTTACACCTCTCCAGTACAACCCCACTAACTGAACGTTACCCCTCTCCAATAGCCCCCCCCCCACTAACAGAAAGGTACTTTTCTTCAGTACACCCCTACACACAGAACTTTACCCTTCTCCAGTACACCCCTCACTAACAGAACGTTTCCCTTCTCAAGTACACCCCCACTAAATGAACGTTACCCCTCTCCAGTAAACCCCCACTAAATGAACGTTACCCCTCTCCAGTAAACCCCTTACAAATAGAACGTTACTCCTCTCCAGTAAACCCCTTACAAATAGAACGTTACTCTTCTCCAGTAAACCCGTTATAAATAGAACGTTACTCCTCTCCAGTAAACCCCTTACAAACAGAACGTTACCCCTCTCCAGTAAACCCCTTACAAACAGAACGTTACTCCTCTCCAGTAAACCCCTTACAAACAGAACGTTACCCCTCTCCAGTAAACCCCTTACAAACAGAACGTTACCCCTCTCCAGTAAACCCCTTACAAACAGAACGTTACTCCTCTCCTGTACACCCCCTTACAAACAGAACGTTACTCCTCTGCAGTTCACCCCCCACTAAATGAACGTTTCCCATCTCCAGTACACCCCAACTAAATGAACGTTAGCCCTCTCCAGTACACCCCTCACAAACAGAATGTTACTCCTCTCCAGTACACCCCCTCACTTCCTAAACGTTACACCTCCCCAGTACACCTCCAACTAACAAAACGATACCGCTCTCCGGTACACCCAACACTAACGGAACTTTACCTTTCCTCAGTACACCCCTTCCCTCTTTTCAACTGACCACTGCCCTTCTCTAGTACACGCCTCCCACTATCTGTACGGTTGTCCTCGTAACCCCCCTTACTATCTGTAACGTTGTCCCTCGTCACCCCTCCAATCTGTAACGTTCTCCTGCGTAACACTTTATCTGTAACGTTATCCTTCGTCACCACCCCCAACTATCTGTAACGTTGCCCCTCGTCACCCCCGCACTATCTGTAACGTTGCCCCTCGTCACCCCCGCACTATCTGTAACGTTGTCCCTCGTCACCCCTGCACTATCTGTAACGTTGTCCCTTGTCACCCCGCCACCCCTATTTGTAACGTTGCCCCTCGTCACCCCTGCACTATCTGTAACGTTGCCCCTCGTCACCCCCGCACTATCTGTAACGTTGTCCCTCGTCACCCCCGCACTATCTGTAACGTTGCCCCTCGTCACCCCCGCACTATCTGTAACGTTGTCCCTTGTCACCCCCGCACTATCTGTAACGTTGTCCCTCGTCACCCCTGCACTATCTGTAACGTTGTCCCTCGTCACCCCCGCACTATCTGTAACGTTGCCCCTCGTCACCCCCTCATTATCTGTAACGTTGTCCCTTGTCACCCCCGCACTATCTGTAACGTTGTCCCTTGTCACCCCCGCACTATCTGTAGCGTTGTCCCTTGTCACCCCCGCACTATCTGTAACGTTGTCCCTTGTCACCCCGCCACCCCTATTTGTAACGTTGTCCCTCGTCACCGCGAGCCGGTCGGGCGAGCGGACAGCACACTGGTCTTGTGATCCTGTGGTCCCGGGTTCGATCCCAGGCGCCAGCGAGAAACAATGGGCAGAGTTTCTTTAACCCTATGCCCCTGTTACCTAGCAGTAAAATAGGTACCTGGGTGTTAGTCAGCTGTCACGGGCTGCTTCCTGGGGGTGGAGGCCTGGTCGAGGACCGGGCCGCGGGGACACTAATGCCCCGAAATCATCTCAAGATAACCTCAAGAAGATAACCTTCCCTCTCTATCTGTAACGATGTCCCTCGTCATCCCTCCCCCCTCTATCTGTAACGCTGTCCCGCGTCACCCCCCACTATCTGTCACGTTGTCTCTCGTCACCCCCCACTATCTGTCACGTTGTCCCTCGTCACCCCCCCCCCCACCACTATCTGTAACGTTGCCCCTCGTCACCCCCCCACCACTATCTGTCACGTTGTCCCTCATCACCCCTGCCTACTGTCTGTAACGTTGTCCCTGGTCCCCCCTCATTATCTGTAACGTTGTCCATCGTCACCCCCTCACTATCTGTAACGTTGTCCCTGGTCACCCCATCACTATCTGTAACGTTGTCCCTCGTCACCCTCCCACTATCTGTAACTTGTCCCACGTCACACCCCCTTCCACTATCTGTAACGTAGCTCGTCACCCCCTCCCCCCTATTATCTGTAACGTTGTCCCGGGTCACTCTGAAACGTTGTCCCTCGTCACCCCCCTCACTATCTGTAACGTTGTCCCTCGTCACCCCCTTCACTATCTGTAACGTTGTCCTTCGTCACCCCCTTCACTATCTGTAACGTTGTCCCTCGTCACCCCCTTCACTATTTATAACGTTGTCCTTCGTCACCCCTTCACTATCTGTAACGGTGCCCCTCGTCACCCCCTCACTATCTGTAACGTTGTCCCTCGTCACCCCCTCACTATCTGTAACGTTGTCCCTCGTCACCCTCCCACTATCTGTAACGTTGTCCCTCGTCACCCCCCCACCACTATCTGTAGCGTTGTCCCTCGTCACCCCCCCACTATCTGTAACTTGTCCCACGTCACACCCCCTTCCACTATCTGTAACGTTGTCCCTCGTCACCCCCTCACCACTATCTGTAGCGTTGTCCCTCGTCACCCTCCCACTATCTGTAACTTGTCCCACGTCACACCCCCTTCCACTATCTGTAACGTTGTCCCTCGTCACCCCCCCACCACTATCTGTAGCGTTGTCCCTCGTCACCCCTTCACTATCTGTAACGTTGTCCCTCGTCACCCCCCACCACTATCTGTAACGTTGTCCCTCGTCACCCCCCCCACCACTCTCTGTAGCGTTGTCCCTCGTCACCCCTCCACTATCTGTAATGTTGTCCCTCGTCACCCCCCACCACTATCTGTAGCGTTGTCCCTCGTCACCGCTCTACTATCTGTAACGTTGTCCCTCGTCACCCCCACCACTATCTGTAACGTTGTCCCTCGTCACCCCCCCTACCACTATCTGTAGCGTTGTCCCTCGTCACCCCTCCACTATCTGTAACGTTGTCCCTCGTCACCCCCCCACCACTATCTGTAGCGTTGTCCCTCGTCACCCCTCCACTATCTGTAACGTTGTCCCTCGTCACCCCCCACCACTATCTGTAGCGTTGTCCCTCGTCACACCCCCCACTATATGTAACGTTGTCCCTCGTCACCCCCCCCACTATCTGTAGCGTTGTCCCTCGTCACACCCCCACTATCTGTAACGTTGTCCCTCGTCACCACCTCCACCACTATCTGTAGCGTTGTCCCTCGTCACACCCCCACTATCTGTAACTTTGTCCCTCGTCACCACCCCCCCACCACTATCTGTAGCGTTGTCCCTCGTCACCCCACCATTATCTATAACGTTGTCCCTCGTCACACCCCCACTATCTGTAACGTTGTCCCTCGTCACCCCCCACCACTATCTGTAGCGTTGTCCCTCGTCACCCCACCACTATCTGTAGCGTTGTCCCTCGTCACACCCCCACTATATGTAACGTTGTCCCTCGTCACCCCCCCACCACTATCTGTAGCGTTGTCCCTCGTCACCCCTCCACTATCTGTAACGTTGTCCCTCGTCACACCCCCACTATCTGTAACTTTGTCCCTCGTCACCACCCCCCCCCACCACTATCTGTAGCGTTGTCCCTCGTCACCCCACCACTATCTATAACGTTGTCCCTCGTCACACCCCCACTATCTGTAACGTTGTCCCTCGTCACCCCCCCACCACTATCTGTAGCGTTGTCCCTCGTCACCTCCCCACTATCTGTAGCGTTGTCCCTCGTCACACCCCCACTATCTGTAACGTTGTCCCTCGTCACCCCCCACCACTATCTGTAACGTTGTCCCTGTCACCCCCCCCCCACCACTATCTGTAGCGTTGTCCCTCGTCACCCCTCCACTATCTGTAACGTTGTCTCTCGTCACACCCCCCCACCACTATCTGTAGCGTTGTAACTCGTCACCCCTCCATTATCTGTAACGTTGTCCCTCGTCACCCCCCCACCACTATCTGTAGCGTTGTCCCTCGTCACCCCTCCACTATCTGTAACGTTGTCCCTCGTCACACCCCCACTATATGTAACGTTGTCCCTCGTCACCCCCCCACTATCTGTAGCGTTGTCCCTCGTCACACCCCCACTATATGTAACGTTGTCCCTCGTCACCCCCCCACCACTATCTGTAGCGTTGTCCCTCGTCACCCCTCCACTATCTGTAACGTTGTCCCTCGTCACCCCCACCACTATCTGTAGCGTTGTCCCTCGTCACCCCACCACTATCTGTAGCGTTGTCCCTCGTCACACCCCCACTATATGTAACGTTGTCCCTCATCACCCCCACCACTATCTGTAGCGTTGTCCCTCGTCACCCCTCCACTATCTGTAACGTTGTCCCTCGTCACACCCCCACTATCTGTAACTTTGTCCCTCGTCACCACCCCCCACCACTATCTGTAGCGTTGTCCCTCGT